CATTCGGACATCTTAGCCCCCACCCCCAAAAATTATATCTAGAGCCACTCCTGCATTGAACAGGACATTACATTCATAGGAAATGCCTTTTGATGGAGAATGTATACCTTGCAAGGTTTGCCTGCGTCGAAACTAACTCCGGCTATATAAATAATATTGAAAAAGTTATTATCGTTAATGAAGGATTAATAATAAAGATTACTATGTCCATTTTTATTGATCTAATCTACGTATATTTGCTTTCAGAATTTATTTTTCGCTAATGAAATTGTTTAGAAATTTATTTGAAAAATACATTTTATGAAATAATGTACCGGTAATCGTTAACGATTAATAATATTTGATAATATTTAAATAAGCAATAAGATTGAATTATGTTAAATACAGACACAATGTATACACAGACCTAATTGAGAGTCCAATTAAACCATGTAAATATGTATCGAAATGATATACTTATTTATATATTTATATAGGCCTAAATATTATGCGTAAATATGTATTTAGTTATTAAATTAAATGTAACGAAAAAACGGAAGAAGCCTACAAAGAAAGAAGAACCGGAAAGAAATTTGGAGCGGCTGAAAAAAATTCCCGAAAATAAACAATAATAATCATTTTGTCATTATTTTTTGAAAATTTGTTGGCACTAATCGTCAGAGGTCAGGTTTCCGACAGCCTACATGTTTCATAAATTCGACATTGAACAAAATGTCGAATATATGAAACATGTAGGCTGCCGGCACCTAACTTCTGACGATAGTGTCAGCAAATCTTCACAAAAACGTGATGCAATAATGACAAAATTATTCAAATAAATATCTAAACAATTTTCATTATTGAAATATAAACTCTGAATGTAAATTTACGTAGATTAGATCAATAAAAATGGACATAATCCATAACAAGAACTGTTTCAATATTCTAATCAATTTTATAAAGCCGGAGTTTCGAACTAGGCAAACCTTACTAAAAAGGTACACTTTCTCCATCAAAAGGCTTTTTCTATGAATGGAAAGACCTGTTCGAAGCCAGGAGGTAATAAAATAATATATTTATACGTCCTTGTTCGAAGCACGAACTCCTGTAGACCAAACCTAGTACTGCTACGACTTTTAATCGTGCGGGAAATCCATTCACTATGTCTGATTTTTTTTTCTCTATATATATAGAGGCCTAAAGAATAAAATAAAATTACTGATATTTTCAAGAGGAAAAAACCTTGAATTTTGAAGAACTTAAAGGTTATTAAAAAAACTATTCAGAAGTCGGGAAAGCTTATTTCCGGCCAGGAGTTTCCATTTTGAACCATCCTCTTTCAAATCCTGGATCCGCCCCTGATTATAATGTGGGTACTAATACCTCATCACAGACAGTGCGTGCGTCACTTACAGTTAGATGGATATTTTTTTTTCTCATTTATCATAAATCCGGGATTTTAAGGTATATCAAGTTGATGTTTTCCTCAACATTACCTAACTCTCATTTGCTTGTAAAAGTATTTGAAGTTTCGTGTGGAAAAATACTAAATAAAGTACAATATTTTGAAATACTTTGGTTTTTTCGACATTTTTTTTTACTCTGTTTAATACAATAATTTGTTTGACTGGAGAGAAAACGTTATATTTACATACCAGACTGAGGAGGAAGAGCTGGAGAACATAGTCATAGTCAAAGCAAACACATCATTAATGCTATTTTAACGGCGTTAAAACTTATTTTAACGCCGTTAAAACTCAATTTCTTAAAATCATTTTAACGGCGCTTTTAAAAAAATTTATAATAACGCTGTTAAAATGACAATTTTAACGGCGCTTTTTTAAATTATCGATTTAACGCAATTTAACGAAAGTTAACGCAATTTTGATATCGACTTCATTGATTTTGCATGCAAACAAATCACGCAAAACTCTTTTCGATTGTCGGCGTTGCCCGCTTTATAATATTAAATTACGGTACCTGATTTTGAAGTTTGTCCGTTTCCTTGATTTATCTGAATTAACTGCAACAGTTTCATGCTCGGCCTAGACTGCTAGCCTCTACGGTACGGCAGGCCAAAATCAATGGACCTATTATTACTTAATAAGGTCCATGCCTTAATTTTATGAAAATGCATAGATACTCACTCATCCCTCAAGTTTAATTCTGCCGTATTCTCTTCCGGAACTCCTTCCA